AAGTCAACATGATAAGGCATCAATCCTTTTGTAGTTTATCACAAACGACACCCAGCCGAGCTAATGTCTACTTGGATTTCTCTGGAAGCCAGTGAGCCGATGTTTAGATCAGGACTGCCAGTCCTGGCTCTGGCAGAACTCCAGTAGTAAAGTCCAAGTCTGAGGAACATACAGCAGAAAGCTAGGGGATTGCAGCAACTTTGCTTTTCATTTACAAAGTGTCTGTAAGAACTTACATAGATTTTCCATTTAATTATTTATAATTTTTATGCCGCCCATCTCCCCTACAAGGTGACTCTACATCAGGGGTCTCCAACCTTGGCAACTTTAAGACTTGTGGACTTCAACTCCCAGCAAGCGGGCTGAGGAATTCTGGGAGTTGAAGTCCACAAGTCTTAAAGTTGCCAAGGTTGGAGACCAGAGGTGGGTTTCAGCAGGTTCTGACCAGTTCTGGAGAACCAGTAGCGGAAATTTTGAGTAGTTCAGAGAACCGGTAGTAAAAATTCTGACTGGCCCCACCTCCATCTATTCTCCACCTCCCAAGTCCCAGATGATCAGGAGGAAATGGAGATTTTGCAGTATCCTTCCCCTGCCATGCTCATCAAGCCACACCTACCGAACCGGTAGTAAAAAAATTTGAAACCCTGTTGGAGACCCCTGCTCTAGGTGGCTTACAGGTTATAAAACAAATAAAAATAATAAATTAAAAGATTAAAACAACATAAAGTTAAAATATTATTAAGAACTACAAACCGAGCTAAGAGACCTAAGAGCCAGACGGGATGGGGATGAAGTCTTCTTACCCTGTCAATCACCTCCAGCAATGAGCACCCTCCTTGGGGCTCCAGGTCAGCTGGCAAAGCCGGGTTTTGATACCCTTCCGAAAGGCCAAAAGGGAGGGGGCAGTTCTCCCCTCCAGTGATAGAATGTTCCACAGCGATGGGGCCACAGCAGAAAAGGCTCTTCTCCTTGACCCCACCGGCTTCACCTTAGCAGACGGGATCTGTAGCAGGCCTCTTCCACTGGCACAAGTAGGGTAGGCGGTCCCATTGCGGAGAGACAGCTCCTCGGATACCCTGGTCCGGGGTGGTATTCACTTACTTTCGCCACCAGTTCACAAATGTGAGCATGCGCCCCCTCTGCGCATGTGCAGAACCTTCCGCGCATGCACAGAACCTTCCGCGCATGTGCAGAGTGTCACAAATGGGATGTGATGATGTCCGGGCAGGTGTGGGGAGCCTCCCACAGCCGCCACTACCAGTTTTCCCGAACCGGATAGAACCGACTGAATACCACCACTGCCCTGGTACTATGCCATGTAGGGCATGGGTTATTGTATAAAGTATTGACAAAATTATTTAAAGTATATCTTGCAAATTTACTGGCACATCTTATCCATAGTCATTCATGCTTTTGTCACCTTCTGTTTGCATTTGTACAATGCACTCTGGACGGTTTGTCCTTGGACATCCAGATGTTGCAACTGTTCCAGAACTCAGCAGCACTTGCAGTTTTGAGTGGTCTTGAAGTTCATCCAAGTAACACCACTGCTGTATGAGATGCATTAGCTCCCAGTTGCTTTCTGGATGCAATTTGAAGATCTGGTTATCACCTTTACATCCCTACTTGGCACAGAGCCAGATTACGTGGGGGATTTGCCTTTCCTTGAGGGTATCAGCCCATCCTTCTAGTTTAGGATGGCTGTGCTCCAGGTCCCCACCCTTAAATGTTGCTGATGGGATCTCAGAAGGTTGCCTTCTCAGTGGCTGCCCCACTGCTCAGACTTTGGAGCATCTTCCTATATGAAATCCAGGAATCCCTATCCTTTTAGCCTTCTGGAGGCTAAAGCATTGGGCTAGGATGGGGGTTGAGCTGCAATGATGTTTGGTCTGGCAGGAAGGGGAATTTTGTTTTTAGCCATGTTTTTATGGATTGTTGTGAGCTATCTACAATCCTAGGACATAGGCAGCCATATGTCCAATAAATAATATACATTTACAAACCTAACGCCATAATCCTCTAATGGGTTGGTTTGGTATTTCTCAACCCCAGCAACTGTATATAGACTTCAACTCCCAGAATTCCCTAGCCAGGATGGAGAAGATCTTAAAGTGGCTGAGGTTGCGAAACACTGGACTAAGTTATTCTTTCTTTCTTTCTTTCTTTCTTTATTATATTTCTATACCGCCTTTCTCCCGTAGGACTCAAGGCGGTGTACAGTCAAGAAAAATATAGATACACAAACATCATAAAATTGCTAATTAAAATTACTAAAATTATTATTATTAACATAATAATAATTCTGAAAAGCGTATACAATATTCAGCGTTGAAATTATTCCAGCAACAACAAAGATCCTGCCTAATGCACCATTTTTTAAAGATAAGTCAAAGGCTGGAATTTGTAATAGTGTAATTAGCTGGTGCTGAAAAATTTATAACACATTTCTCTGTATTCTCACTACCAGTTCCCACTGAATCTAACAAATAAGCAGATTTTGGTTTCTAAATGACAAATCCTGGTGGATCCAAAGCATAGAAGCTAACTTGTTGGAGGATAAAATTGCTCCAGCAGCTTGCAAAGAGTTCAGTTCCAAAGGTATATATTTAGTTATTCTTAGCCCTGGATCATACAGTCCAGAATTTGAGATGTCAACTTGCATTCCCTTGAAAGCAGAACCAATGGGAAGGGACAATTCCCCAACATTTCCAAGGCTGTTAAATCCCCCATGTACTCCAGCCATATGTTATTCATAAACAGTCATCTGTATGAACTGAAAACTCATTTGATCCATGCCTTCTCAATAAACCTCCTCTGTCCCCAGAGTCTTCCAGATGCTGGTTGTGTTTGCTGGGAAATGTGGCAATTATAATCTAATACATCTGGAAGACACTATGTAGATTCAGGATACTTATGCACAGATTTAAAAATAATTACTCTTCAGAGTTGGGATTTTGCTAATTTTTGCAATGCATCAGGTTCTGCATCACCTCCCTCTCCCAGGAAAGTAACAAAAAATGTTTTTCAAAGTATGTTTTTCAATAAAGTTTATTTACACATGCCACCATCTCAATAGATTATTTTTTTTAAATACTAGTTTTGGGGAGAAAGAAATGCACACCTAAATACGCACACAAATATATGGAATGATCATTCATCTCTGCTTTTTAAAAGAATCCTACAGTCAAGAAAAAAAATCAGAAGTAATCCACTAGACTAGAAGTACTGTAGAGTAATCTACCTTCACTTGTCCTCTCGCAGATATAATAATTTCTTCTTGTATCCTTGAAACACTAACAGATAATAATAACAGATAGTATTTCCCATCACATGAAAACAATACAGCTGTTAAAAGTCATAGACACTGGTATCAAACATCTGATTCCATACTAAACAGTCCCCTTTCGGACATGGGGCCAGTCAGAGCCAACTAGAGGTAGCCCAACCATTAGCCAAAAAAAGCAACTGCCTCAGGAACAGCATTAACAGCTTCCTGGCTATAACTCCTTGGTGGCCCAGCTAGTCCTTCTCTTGAGGGACACTGTGCAGCTTCTCCTAAGGCTATGCCGGATGGAAGATCATCTCCCTTGGCCAACGCTAGAAAGCCAAGTGGGCATCCCACAGACTCTGATACATGGAGTATTTATTTATTTATTTATTTAATTTATATACCGCCCTACTCCTGAAGGACTCAGGGCGGTGAACAGCCAAACGGTAAAAATACATAGATACAAAATTTAAAAACAAAGTAAAATTGAATTAAACAAATTTGGCCCGAACGTATTAAAACCCCAATCATTTAAAAAACCAATTAAAATTTGCATAATTAAAAGAGGGAAAAGATTAGGCCAGGCCCGCCTGGTGGAATAAAAAGGTCTTAAGAGCGCGGCGGAAGGTGCGCAGATCCGGGATCTCCGTATCTCCGGAGGGAGCTCGTTCCAGATAGTAGGTGCCCCCACAGAGAAGGCTCTCCCCCTAGGGGCCGCCAGTCGACATTGTTTGGCCGACGGCACCCGGAGGAGCCCCCCTCTATGAGAGCGTACCGGCCAGTGGGAGGCTATTGGTGGTAGTAGGCGGTCCCGTAAATAACCAGATCTTAAGCCATGGAGCGCTCTAAAGGTGGTAACCAAAACCTTGAAGAAGCATTCCTTGCTTCCCCTAGCTCTGTTAAATTTGGAAAGTAGTCATCAGGTTTAGAACCTGCTTTCATGAGGTCACCTTTGTCAAACACATCTGTCAAGTGTGGCAGGACATAGAGAGAGCCAACATGTTTTCTCAATTTAAGACAACCCGGTTCCCAGCCCAGATCTCCAATCCCATTTATCCATGTTGCCTTTGCTGCATTATTTGCTGCCCTTGACCAGTGGTGGGATTCAAGTAATTTAACAACCGGTTCTCTGCCCTAATGATTTCTTCCAACAACCAATTCACCAAACTGCTCAGAAAGTTAACAACCGGTTCTCCCGAAGTGGTGCGAACCGGCTGAATCCCACCACTGCCCTTGATTTTCTTGAACATTGCTTGCCGGCATCCCAGCCTCTCTCTCCTTTCCAGGAGCAAACTTCTTCCTGCCTCTTTCTCCTGAATCCTCGCCACTCCTGCCAGCTCAGCATCTCCTGCAATGCTGTTCTGTACAGAGCTGCAAAATACACATTAGTCTCCAATTCCCCAATTCCCATGTCTCCAGGGTCTTGCCTCATCTCTTTGGCTCCATTCACTTTCTGGTTTTGGTGGAAAGATATCATGAGAAAAACAAGATTCCTGAAAGCTACCCTCAAACCAGCTCATTTTCTTCAGCTGGAGCCCCTAACAAAACAAAACCCGAGATTAAATCCTCTTGGAGGGCCTGGTTTTTCCCACTGAGTAAACTAATGTTTGGGGGGGGATGAAAGATTGCTTTACACTACTGTTCACACACAGTAATTTTCCCTCCGACGCCCAGATGTATAAGTTCTATTAGGTTACCAAACATGGAACGGGCAAAAGGAAAAGTCACTCACCTCTCCTCTCAACTTGTTCCCCTAGAAATCAGCTGTGCAATAGAATGAAAAATGAAGAGGGGAAGAAGTTCAGGGCCATGTGGAGGAAAAATCCCGTTGTTTGAGCAAGCCGTGAATCTGCTCCTCCCTCTCCCCTCCTCCTTTCCCTCCCCTACACTACAAGTGATTTCAAATAAATGATCACCAGAGGTCTGGGGGGTGGGTGGAGGTCTGGAAGGAAGCATGTGTGCGCTTGCTTGGATGTTTGGTTGCAAAGGGAGGGAGGGAGGGAGGAGGAAGGGGAGACACCCACAGCTGCTCCAGCCTCATAATATTTCTCCCCTTTATGAAGTTATGCAAGAGGGAGGGTGGATGGGGACGGGACCTGCCAACAGGCAGGTTGGCTGGCAGACAAAACACAAAGAATTAACTTCTTAGGGTATTGAAGGGGGAAGGAGACGGACGTTTTGCACATACTTGCAAGGAGCCTCTTTTTTTTTAATAGGGCTGGGGTTCAAGACCACAAATGCAGCCCTGTGATATAAATGTGTCTGCTTATGTGTGTGTGTGTGTGTGCCTGCCTGCCCCCCCCCCCGCATCTGGGACATTGCGTTATGGATTTCATTTGTATTCCCTGCCTTGTTTCCTTCAAGAATTTCAGGCGTGGATATTAGCCCTACAATAGCCCTTTGAACGAAACACAGCCGAGGGCGATTGGCAGACTTTCCTCATTGACAGGGGAGCTGAAGAGAGTTCCTTGCATTGAACAGTCTAGCTGTCTTCTGTTGTTGTTTTTTTCTCCTGCCCGGCCAATGTTCAGAGAATGCTAGGCAAGAGGCACCAGGGGGTTTCTAATGCCCTCGTCACCTCCCGCCTGGACTACTGTCACTCATGCCCTCGTTCACCTCCCGCCTGACTACTGTAATACTCTCTACATTCCCTCGTCACCTCCCGCCTGAACTACTGTAATGCTCTCTACATGCCCTCGTCACCTCCCGCCTAGAACTACTGTCACTCATGCCCTCGTCAGCTCCCGCCTGGACTACTGTAAAGCTCTCTACAGCCCTCGTCACCTCCCGCCTGGACTACTGTCACTCATGCCCTCGTCATCTCCTGCCTGGACTACTGTAATGCTCTCTACATGCCCTCATCACCTCCCGCCTGGACTACTGTCACTCATGCCCTTGTCACCTCCCGCCTGGACTACTGTAATGCTCTCTACATGCCCTCATCACCTCCGGCCTGAACTACTGTCACTCATGCCCTCGTCACCTCCGGCCTGGACTACTGTAATGCTCTCTACATAGGGCTCCCCTTGAGGAGCACCTGGAGGCTCCAACTGGTCCAGAATGCAGCCGCGCGGGTGGTTATGGGAGCGACATGGCGTTCCCATGTAACACCTCTCCTGCGCGAGCTGCACTGGCTCCCGGTGGTCTTCCAGGTGCACTTCAAGGTCTCAGTTACCACCTTTAGAGCGCTCCATGGCTTAGGAACTGGGTACCTACAAGACCGCCTTCTGCCACCAGTAGCCTCTCACCAGCCAGTACGCTCACACAGAGAGGGACTCCTCAGGGTGCCATCGGTCAAACAGTGTTGACTGGCGGCCCCCAGGGGGAGAGCCTTCTCTGTGGGGGCACCTGCCATTTGGGACGAGCTCCCCCCAGAGATACGGAGGATCCCAGATTTACGCACTTTCTGCCGTGCCCTCAAGACCTTTTTATTCCAGCAGGCTGGGCTGGCCTAACTCCTTTTAATTGTTTAATTTTAATTAGTTTTTTTAAAAAAAACAGGGGTGTTTTAATCAGTTTGGGCCAAATTTATTTAATGTATTTTAAATTGTTTTTTAAATTTTATACTATATGTGTTTTATCTTTGGCTGTTCACCGCCCTGAGTCCTTCGGGAGTAGGGCGGTATATAAATCCAAAATAAACTAAACTAAACTAAACTAAACTAATATTTAACAGAATAACAGAGTTGGAAGGGACCTTCTAATCCAGCCCTCTGCTCAAGCAGGAAACCTATACCATTTCAGACAAATCATTGTCCAATCTCTTCTTAAAAACCTCCAGTGATGAAGCACCCACAATTTCTGGAAGCAAGTTGTTCCACTGATTAATTGTTCTAACTGTCAGGAAATTTCTTCTTATTTCTAGCTCGGGCCTCTCCTTGTTTACTTTCCATCCATTGCTTCTTGTTCTGCCCTCAGGCGCTTTGGAAATAGGTTGATCCAGTGGTGAAATCCAATTTTTTTTTTACTACCGGTTCTGTGGGCGTGGCTTGGTGGGCATGGTGTGGCTTGGTGGGTGTGGCAGAGGAAGGATACTGCAAAATCTCCATTCCCACCTCACTCCAGGGGAAGGATACTGCAAAATCTCCATTCCCACCCCACTCTGGGACCAGCCAGAGGTGCTATTTGGCCAGTTCTCCAAACTACTCAAAATTTCCGCTACCGGTTCTCCAGAATCTTTCAGAACCTACTGGATTTCACCCCTGGGTTGATCCCGTCTTCTCTGGGGCAGCCCTTTAGCTTTGGAAGATGGCTAACATGTCACTCCTAGTCTTTCTTTTCATTAAACAATCCCTGCAACCATTGTTCATGTGTTTTATATAATGCAGAAAGGCTAAATCCCACAAGGTCACAGATAAGGAGCCTCTTTACACAATGCTTTATAATGTAGCCCACCTCAATACTGTCTTCTCAAAACCAGTTCTCTCTACAATGGTTGCTCTTTTGCTCATGCACAGAAGATCACACAGCTAGCTGGTGTTGGTGGAAGAGACATGTCCGATCACCAAGTCCAAGAGGTGTGGAAGATACTAATGACATCGAGTTCTCATGAAATATACCAGGAAATATCTTACCTTCCATGAAGTACGCAAGGAGAAAAGTTGACACTTCATCCAATAAAGGTCCTTCACCCCTATGTCAAACATATCACTAAAGTGAATAATTTTCTAGCGGATACCTACATATTGTGAACTGAAAATCAAGCAGGAAATCCTAAAAAAAATAATTCAAATTATGTTTAAGAATGTCTTTAACGCCATTTCTTCTTCCCTTTTTTTTTTAAAATTAACATAGGCGGTAGAGAACGTGACAATCCCAGATATCTAAATTAACGCTTGTTCCCATGCCAGCCTACTTTTGCATGGACAACATCTGTGATAAGATATGGCCGGAAAGGGAGAAACTTCTTAGTGTAGCTCTCCATCTACACAATTCTTTCTCTGAAGACCACTGAGGCTTTTAATTTTCCCAGTTTTTAAAATATAGTCTATTTTGTCCTGCAAGTTTTTGAACTGTGGAAGGATGTCTCATGGGATCCAGACAGGTGTGAGTGTGTGTTGAATGCTCCCCCACAAAGCCAGAGTGAAAAGGTTTTTGGATCACCTATCCACTCACTGGTAAAATCACACTATAATACATTGAGGTATGTTATCAATCTGTGTTTAACTCCTTTGTTACATGCCTGAAAAGTTTATCTGAGAGGTGGCATATAATTTTTTAAAAAATTAAGTTAAAAATTATTTAAAGAAGTATCAAGACTTCTGAAGGTTCAATAGTTAAGACAAAGATGATTGTTCATTAGATGTGGCTTTTCTAACGTTGTTGCATTATTTAAAATATTTAAAATAAAAGCTGGGGATGAATGACCTTCTGAAATTCTCCCTTGAATGTGTGGGCCTCAAGGACTGCAAAGATGCCTGTTGCAGATGAGGTTCCATTTCTGAAGAAAAATCAGGTTCATGATTTGAAAGTGCTCTTCAATCTTCAACAATTCAAGTAGCAAGAAGCATCTGTACCCAACGACATCTATTACGCCAGTCTCAACTTCATATGACGTGTATCAAGATTTTATATGTCTTGACTTTCTGCAAAGTGCTTTAAAGGAGGCTGCTTTTCAAAGCTGTCCAGGAAAAAAAAAATGGGGTAAAGTCAGTGGTGGGAGTCAAGTAATTTAAGAACCGGTTCTCTGCCCTAATGATTTCTTCCAACAACCAGTTTGCCAAACTGCTCAGAAAGTTAACAACCAGTTCTCCCAAAGTGGTGCGAACTGGCTGAATCCTACCACTGGGTAAAGTTAAATTGTAGGGTTATTTTTGAAATCCTAAAGTTATTTAGATGATGAGGTAAGACCCTTTTGAAGATACCTCAATTGCTAAACCTAATTTTTATAGTTAGAATAGAATAGAATAACAGAGTTGGAAGGGACCTTGGAGGTCTTCTAGTCCAACCCCCTGCTTAGGCAGGAAACCCTGCACCATTTCAGAGACACAGTTATCCAACATCTTCTTAAAAATTTCCAGTGTTGGAGCAATCACAACTGCTGGAGGAAAGTTGTTCCATTGATTAATTGTTCTAACTGTCAGGAAATTTCTCCTTAGTTCTAAGTTGCTTCTCTCCTTGATTAGTTTCCACCCATTGCTTCTTGTCCTGCCCTCAGGTGCTTTGGAGAATAGCTTGACTCCCTCTTCTTTGTGGCAGCTCCTGAGATATTGGAACACTGCTATCGTGTCTCCCCTAGTCCTTCTTTTCATTGAACTAGACATACCCAGTTCCTGCAACTGTTCTTCATATATTTAATTAGTTATTTAGAGCAAGCTGGCTTGGGTGTTCATACAAACGCAAAAGCAGAGTATGAATTCAAAAATCAAACAAACTAAAATAAATGGATCGTTTCATTAAATTTCTCCAGGGGAGGGGAAAATTCTTCAACAGAGTCTCAAGAGAAGGACCCTCCCTTAGGGCTTATACAATCCCATCTACTGTATTCTTTTTCCCCCCCCCCCAAGGATGCCTGGGAGATGACAGAAAACTGAAGAAATCATATCACCTTTGTTCTGAGTCAAGTGCATCAGAGCAAGATAGATAATGACAGCTGAGAAATTGCACAAGATATTTAAAAGATCTTTGTATCAAAAGGTCAAACTCCCCAAAGGTTGTATTTCTTTATCATGGGTTATATTAAAGGATTGATAGAGCAATCTTAGTTGGGAAGTGGGCATAAATTGACCTAGCAAACAATCCATTCCATTTAAGCCCTGCCTACTAATGTTGGTCAGGGGTTATAGGAAGGGAGGGTTTTCTGAAAGGAAGCCAAGGAATTTTGTGCTATTTTGCCTTTTATCCTTATACCACTGTAACCAGCGAGGACTACATCAAATAGGTCAGCTACGGAATGCTA